CAGGCTGACTGAGGAAGCATCTGCCATGGGGAAGAGTTCTTCCATAATCCCTCCATCTCCTTTTCGCCCTCCTGTCGGGATTTGAGCATGCCCACATGCTCAGTATGTTTCTCTTGCTGCCAGATGTGGGGCTCTGACAGCGTGGTCCGCCGTGCAGGGCCTGGCTGCCTCTGCCAGCCAGCCACAGAGCCGGCCCGACTGCTGACCCTCTCATAAGCAGTTTGTGTATGTTCATTTTATCACCACAGCGACTCTGCGAGGCAGGAACCATCGTTGGTCCCTTTCTCAGGTAAAATTGGAGAGCAGAGTAGCTTGTCCAAAGCTCTGCAGCTCCGACTGGAACTGGGCAGTCTGCTCTAGGGTTTCACCCTCAGTCTCTGCTGTTGTCTTCAGCTACATGTGGAAAAATGATTATCAACAGAGGCGTGGCTGGATAAGGGGCTGCGGGAGGGGTGGTTGTCAGGTATAGATTGTCTCTGAGATATAGTGAGATAGAATAGAGAGATTTACTGGTGGTTGGATGGTTGTGAAGGACAATGAAAAACTAAGGAGATTTAAAAAAAAACTCGGAACTGCGTCCCAGCTTTACAGGGCTGCCTCCTTGCTTCCCTGGGGTTAAGTTGGATGTCCCTTTCTGAGTGCTGTGACAGTAGTGAGTCCCGTGCTGCGTCCTGTCGTCCTGTCGGACACTGCGAAGGCACTGTCCAATCAGGACTCTGTGGAGACCTTGACGTCCCTCCCTCTTCCCCACTGGCCCTGTGAGGGCCTGGGGACAGTGCCACGAGCTGCTTCTTCAGTGTCACTCTCTTGTCTCATACCTTGGTTTTTGCCTTCTTTTCCCTCTGGCTCCCCTCGCTCATCCCAAGGTGATGATTTCCCTCTTTTAAATCCTGACCTCATTCTAGTTTCAGGTTATTCTCACTTACCTCTGAGGCCCATGCCAAGTCCAGATGTGGAATCAGAAGGTCTGGACAGATGTTCTGCCCATGTCTCCAACTGGCCGTGAGGCCCAGGGGGCTGGTGAGATCCCAACCCAGAGGTTCCTTTTTCTTGGCCATACCTGCCCCATCTATTTCACAGGGTTGTGTTGAGGTTCAAATAAAATATATGCATGGAAGTACCTTGTGAAGCAGAGCGTGGCTCAGATGCAGCGTTACTAATATCCCCTGCCTCCCGCATGTGGAGTGGTTCCTGCTTGGTGTCCAGCATGGCCCTGGCTGGTGGCCTTTCTCTGGTTGTGTATTTACCTATGTGCCCTTGAGGGTCCTAGGTCTTACCTCTTTGAATTTTGCAGAGCTTGGCACTGTGGCTTCATGCGAGAGAGAGGGACTCAGTAAATGTTGGAATGAACGGGCCAAGAATGTCTGATTGAAAGGACACTTGTCATTGTTTTTTTCTTTTTCCTTTCCTGAGCAAAGCCTTCCTGTTATACCTTAGCTTTTCTTAAAGTTAGCCTTGTTAATAATCAGGCTTTTGAAACATTCTTATGCTCATTTTTTGTAGAATGCTAAATTCCAAAGCCTGTGGTTGCCTTCCCCAAGATATATGCTTACATTTTTTTTTTTTTTGAGTGGTTTTTTGCTTTAGGGCGCGTGCGCTTGACAGAAAGACAGAGACAGACAGACAGACAGGAAGCAAGAAATCATCTCCCGGGGAAGATGGCCACGCCGCAATCCTTTCTCCTCCATTCTCTCGGGATCTTGGGCACACACGCACACGCACCTGCCGTGAGTTCAAGCCACCGGGTCCGGACTCAACCCGCGGTCGACTACATGGGAGTCCAGCGACATAGCCATTACACCAACTGCTGGTCCCAATATCTGCTTACTTTATAAATATCCTTCTGACAGGTCTGTAAAAGGAAAGTCAAGAGTCATTTTAGATTTGGAATTAGAGATATAAAATATTTGCTCTTTATTCTGGTTTATCCGTTAACGGTCTACTTTCTATACCTCTTACGGACCATGTTCTGCTGAGTCCCTGGCTCTGTTCTGGGGCTGGGATGCAGCAGGCCTCAAAGCAGATGAGACGCCTGCCCCCAGGCAGCTTATGTTCCACAGGGCTGCCAAACTCCACAGTGCGAGCACATGGATGAGCTCATATCGAGTAGTCCCGAATGCCGCAGGCGGAATTGTGTGACGAGCACTCCCAGGCCGACAGGAGTCCTCCACACATGTACATCCCCGAGTAGGTTACAGATGCCACACTCCTGGGTGCGGGGCTGCCCACAGCGTGGCTGGTCGTCGAGTCAGTGAGTGTGTAAGTACCGCGCTGTCTCGCCTTATCCGGAAGAAAGATAGCAGGTGACTGGGGAAGCGGGACTTTTGGCTTCACATGAGCAGCTGAGTGTAAGTGAGAGCCCCTCAGACTTCCTGGGACCGCCTTTGTTCAGGTGGCTGATGTCTGAGTTTCCCCGGGGCCCATGGGAAGGAAGGATGGGGGGGGGGAGCTGTTGATGGCCCTAACCTCCCCATGCCATCTCGCCACACTGGTGCACTGCATCCCTGATGCTAAGGAACTTGCTTCTAGCGTTGTGGTCTGAGGTCTGCGTGCTGAAAGGTGGTATGTCCACCGCAGAATCTTCCAGGGACAAGGCACTTGTATGGTGAAGGGGTGAGCCCCAGATGGTGAGGGGATGGTGAGGCTTTGCTGGTGCAGCTGGGCTTGTGGGGAGCGAGTGTACCTTCATGCTGAGATAGAAAGGCCTGCGGGAAGAGTAGGATCTTCTGGGGAGAACAGAGCTTCCCTTGGGAGGGGTTTAACTGGAGAGGCCTCTTAGACCTTTATGCAGGGAAATCAGGCTGGTGACAGGCATGGGCTTAAGCTCAGTGGAGACATCAGGGTTGCAAACTGAAATCTGATCCTCAGCCCAGAGATGCATTCCTCTCTTGATAGCCTGGAGGGTTTGAAACCACTTCTTTCCAGTGCACATTGTCTAAGGCTTTACAAACCATAGCCATTTTATCATGGTATGTTGTCGTCCGCTTACTTTATGTAGGTCATTTAAGAAAATACTGAACAAAATACTGTGCTAGGTTCAGGGGACAAAATGGTGTTCGTGGTAGACCGTAGGTCTGGTGAGGGCAGGAGTATATCTAACAGGGAAGACAGATCATGTGATCAGAATCAAGTCAATAATTCAATCTGGGCTCTGCTCGGAATTAAGTAACTTATGCCATGTGCTATGATGGGGGAAAAACTGGGGGACACACAGCAGAGGCACAGGCATGTCTAGGAGTGGGGGTGGGGAGATTTCAGCTGACCAGTGAGGGCTGAGTAGGAGCCTGCTGGGTTAGACATGCCTCAGGCCAGAGAGAAGTGAGTGGAGGAATTAAAGTTTGCATCGGAATTAAAATGTATAAATCCCTTCCTTGGAAATGGCAAATTCCATATAAGGTCCTCAAGGATTCCTTGGCAAGACTGGCTAGCTCAAATGATACTGTTCAGGTATGTTGATGCTATTAGTATCATTGTTAACTTGCTTTCACGTGTGTGCATTTGGTAGGTACAGGAATTTCCACTGCTCTGTGCACAGTTTTATTTTAGTACAGTAAATATAATGTGAAATTGGCAGCTCGTATGTCTTTATAAATATCTATGTACGTTATTTCAGAGAACTGGGGCCAATTTTTGCATGCAAGGTCCTATGTAGTTATCTAAGGAAAGCCACTCTATAGATTCCTCTGTATTACTCTGACCTGTACACAATGCAGTTTGAGCACAGGAACAGGTATGTTCGCATTTTGTTCACAATTTTGGAACCACCAAAGCAATTGATAGCACTCTGATGCAGACTGAATAGCAACACTTTCTCTTTCCTTTCCCTTGACACTGTGATACTAGTAGATCCTTGTGGAATTTTAAGGAAGCTGGTTTTAATCTTCCTTAAATTCCTATTGTGTTCTTCCAAAGCAGTAACTCCCTGGCCAAGACCTTATAAATGGCACAAACAAGTTTATTTGCTGAGGATAATGTACAATAGGTGTGTGGACAGTGGACAGTGGCTTTGACCCTGAGTTGGGAGGTTTTGACTCAGCCGAGTGGGGTCCCTGGGAAGAAGTAGTTGTGCTGTTGCATGGCCCTGCTTCAATGAGAGGTGTCTGGGCTAAGCCCTTCCCTGGTTTTAGCCAAACTGGTACAACAGAGACTATTCTAGAAACATGTAATAGGCTCACAGAGTCCAAACAGGAGCAGGTCCCCTGCAGCTGGCGGGGAGATGGCACCCATAGGCCCACACGGAAGTGGGTGGTGAATGTGGAGAGTGTATTCTCGCTCTCCTGAGCTGGTTTTCCTGTTCATGCTCAGAAAGTGATGTTGATGGGGAGAGAGGAGAGGTTGGGCCATGTGGGGCCTCCACTGGCAAAGTCGTTTTTCAGAGGTACAAACTCGTCCCCTTTCATCTCCTGTCCTCCTCTGGGAACTCCCACTTCCCCATCCCCTAACAGGAGGTCATTTTGTCCCTCCCCAGGCTCCTGCATACCTCAACCCTTCCAGCTGGTGTGTAGGGGTGTGTAGGTGCTGTGTCCCATTAATTCCAACCTCTTGAATCCACCTTGCATCTCCTGCCCAGGTCCCTGTCATGGGTGGTGCCCAAGTGCAAACTAGAACTCTCTTAGATGGAGAATAAATAAATGGGGTTACTGTTTTGTTTTATAAGGGGATAAAATTAGTTTTACTTTTTTTCTTTTTAAGGTTTTTGCCATAGGTCATATGTACACCCAGGAGAGAGACAGAGAAAAAGAGAAAGTGAGAAATCACCCCTAGAGGAATGGCCGTGCCAAATCCCTTCTCCTCCAGCCTCCTCCCAGGATTTTGGGCATGCACACAAACATGCCCAGTGCAATTTTCAAGCCACCTGATCTGGCACTTGAACCACAGTCAGCCATGTGGGAGTCCAGCGCCTTAACTACTACACTACCTTCTTCATTTCAGAAAAGGTTGGTTGAGAATTCTGATAATTGTAGAGTGTATTATCATAAATAAAAACTTTCTCTTTTCAGATAATGTGGATGCAAGTGATCTTAAGCCATTTTTTGAGACCAACTATTCTCAGATATATTTCATCTTCTATGAAAATTTTATAACACTGGAAAATAGTTTGAAATTAAAAGGTAAGCATTTTTACAAAGTTTTTAAAAAAATTTTAAACATTCAGGAAGTTTTGGAAGTTGTATGTGTTCTGAGCCACAAATTGGACTTTTTAAAACTTTTTTCCTTGTCAAACCTTAGCAGAGCTGTAAGATCAGGGAGAATAGGCTGGTGTCTCTGTTTGCCTTGAGCTCTTATTTGGGCAGATGTTAACTGAGCAATGAATGACTGCAGGGCAGTAGAAGAGAGAACCTGCAGAAGGCATGAGTTCCAGGGGAATAACTCACTTAAAAAAGGAAAGAAAAAAGATTTTTAAAAATCAGATTATATTAAAGAGTTTGAAATACAAAATGAAAGATCTGTTTTGCCCAGACCCCCAGCTCTGCTTTGCAGAAGCAAACACTATTAAAGTTGTGTTCTCTCTCTCTCCAAGTAGATTATTTTTTAACTGTGGTGAGCCATGTGAGAGTCCAGCGCTCCAACCACCATGCCATCTGCTGGCCCTGCCCAAGTAGATTATTAATGCATTATATTTATTTGAGTTTTATGCTCATATATAAATATTCTTTGAAAATCAAGCCAAGGTTACACTGTATCATCCTGTCCTCACCTGGAGTATAGCAGTAGCCTTAGAAATGGTCTCCCTGCTTCCACGCTGTGCCCTCCCCCAACACAAAAGTCTCTTCAGACTGGAGCCATGCTTTCAAAATGTGAGTCAAAGCTGGGTTTGGTGGTATGTACCTGGAATCCCAGCTACTCAGGAGGCTGAGGCAGGAAGATTGAGACCCTATCTTTAAAAAAAGGGGGAGTGCCAGCAGGTGGCATGGTGATTGAGGTGCTGGATCCCAAATCGCCAACTCTGCAGTTTGAGTCCTGGACCTGGTGGCTTGAAAAACACGTCTGTTGCATGTGTGTGCTTGTCCAAAACCCTGAGAGGAGAATGGAGGAGAAAGGGTTGCAGCATGGCCATCTCCCCTGGGGAGTGATTTCTCACTTGTCCTCTTTCACAGTGTCTCTGTCTTTCTCTGACAAGCACATGTGCCCTATGGCAACAATCTTTAAAAAAAAATTATACTGTCTCTGGCAAGCACATGTGCCCTATGGCAACAATCTAAAAAAAAAATCATAATTATCCAGGTCTAAACCCTCATTCTCATTTCTAAGGTCATTAAAATAGCCTCAGGCCGCCTAACTTGCTTTCCAGGGCCAGTGGGTGTCCCATCTACTCTGTAACCTCCAGACCTCTTGTCGCCTTTGCTCCAGTCACTGTGGTCTCGCGCAGTGTCCTGACCGTGCAGTGTGTGCTCAGCCACTGGGAACTTTGCACTCTCTGGTCCCTCTGCCTAGAACACCCCTCTGCCAATTTTCCATATGGCTTGCTTCCTTACTACTTTTAGATTTTTTTTCTCAGATGTTACCTTATCGGCAGGATGACTTCCCTGTAGTCAAAATTGTATATCATCCTTTTTGGCTTCCCCATCTGCCTTCCCTCCTGTTTTCTCACTTATTTATAGAATGCCTCCTCCTGCCTACATATAAACTTTCCCAGGGCAGGGATTGTTATCTGTTTTGTTCGCTCCTTTATCCTCAGGGCCGAGAATAATCCCTGACAAACAGGTCTTTTTCAGTACTTTTCAATGACTGTCCACTGTATGGAGCTGTGGGGATTCAGTTAGATCCAGGTCTGCACTGTATAGCTGGCTTCCTGCATTTATAAATAAAGTTTTATCGAACACAGCCATATACGATCATTTATATGTTTCCTGTGACTGCTTTTACGCTTGTAACAGCGGAGTTGAGTGGTTGCAAGAGGCCTGGAAAGTTTGAAATATTTACTGTCTGGTCCTTTACAGGATTTTGGGCATGCACACACACATGCCCAGTGCAATTTTCAAGCCACCTGGTCTGGCACTTGAACCACAGTCAGCCATGTGGGAGTCCTTTACAGACTCCTAAATAAGATGGCGTTTGCTGAGCGCTTGCCCAGAGCCTGGCACGCAGAGCAGCGCAGACAGTGAATGGTAACCGCTGCTGCAGGCAGTGTCGTCTTACTGTTTCATTATTAAGAGGAGTACACAGTTGCCCTCAAAGATATCCGCTCTACAGTGAGCAGTGAGCTGCTCTCTCTGTCTTTATATTATCAAGCTAGAACTTTTTCTCTAATTTTGCTGCGCATTCCACCGTAACTTGAGCTGATAGCTAACTAGTTGAGAAATAATGAAATCACCTGTCACGAGTTGGTAACGACTTGGAAAACATGGAAGCTGTGTTTAAATAGCTCACGGGTCAGCTCTCCTAGACGTGAACCCAGGCGCCCTGGCTCAGTTGTCACCTGCAGTCCTGATGCTTGCGTCACATTCGTCTTGTTCTTTTTCTAAACAAATGGGTGTATGTTGAGGCTTAAATGTTTTAAGATGCCTTTTAATATAATTTGTTATATCTCAGAGTTTAGACTTTGTCATTATAACTATTATTTTTTTTTAATATTCCAGGGAATAATAAGTCACAAAGGGAGGAGCTGGACTCCATCCTATTTCTTTTTGAAGTAAGTTTTGGTTCATTCATCTATCTTTTGTCTTTCTTGTTGGAAAATATGTTCTTTAGGTTTTTAATTTCACTTGAAAACAAATAAAAATTGCCATTAGTGGGCCTATATTTCCCCACGTCTTCCTTTACAAAATAATGCTGCAGGGAACAGCAGTTGGCATAATGGCTATGTCACTGGACTCCCATGTAGTCGACCACGGTTCGAGTCCTGGACCCAGTAGCTTAAACTCACGCCAGGTGTGTGTGTGTGTGTGCATGCCCAAGATCCTGAGAGGAGAATGGAGGAGAAGGGATTGCAGCATGCGCATCTCCCACAGGGGTGATTTCGCACCTTCTGTCTCTCTGTTTCTCTCTGTCTTTATGGTGAGCACATGCGTCCTAAAGCAAAAACCTCTCAAAAACAAACAAACAAAAAACACAAAATAATGCTGCAAAGACTGTTCTTGTGATTTTCTTTTTGCAAACACGTGGGAGTATTTTTCCTGTATGGGTACCTAGATGTGAAATTATTAGATGGAACAGTTTGCATGTTTTAAATACTAATAGTTCTTACTGAATTGCTCTCCTAAAACATCACATGAACTTAAATGTTAACTTATAAGTAAGCCTTACATAAATTTCCTATACTCTAATTAACATTAGAGATGATTTATCTTTCTTTTTTTTTTTTTTTTTTAGAGGTATTTGCCTTAGGGCATGTGTATTCACTGGGAAGAGAGACAGACAGAGACAGTGAAAGGGAAAGTGAAAATTCACCCCCCTCCCAGGGAGAATGGCCATGTCCTCCATTCTCTTCTTGGAATCTTGAGCATTCACGTACACGTGCCTGGTGTGATTTTCAAGGCACCAGGTCTAGGGCTTGAACCATGGTCAGCCATGTGGGAGTCTAGCAACGTAACTGCTACACCATCTGCTGGCCCCCAATGATTTTTTTTTTAATGTATATAAATTTGATATGCAAAACAGTCATTGTTTTTAGCATATATTTTTCTGACTGTGAGATTGCAGTCTGTGTGTGTATTTGTCTGTGAGTGTCAATCATATATTCTTTTCAAAGTCAGGAGAGTGTTTGGGCATGGTTTTTGATTTTATAAGCTTCAAGTGTTTCTTGTCTAAATGTATAAGAAAAGTGACCAGATTACAGATACCTGGAAAATGATACTCAGAATGGAATTGTGGATGCTGAAAGTTAATTGTTGGTTCTCTAGAAATTGTTCATGATTTGAAGAGCCGTGTGCTTGGATTGATATGAAAAGATGAACTTTTATGACTGTAAGGGAAAGGTATAATGCATACTCACTGCTGAGTTGACTGGAAGGGAAGATGTCTTAATCCATTATTTCATTGCTTACAGAAATACCTGAGCATGGCTGGTTTTATAAAGAAATCAGAAGTTGGGGCCAACCAGTGGCATGGTGGTTAAGGCACTGGATTCTCAGATGGCCAACTGTGGCTTAAGTCCCAGAACTGGCCCTTGAAAATCACAGCAGATAGATAGATAGATAAATAAAAGGTTTATTTTAAAAAAAAGTCTTAAGTTTATTTACAAACTCACCATCCTGGTGTCTGGAAAGTCCAGAGTCCTAATCCAATAGCCTGGCTGATGGAAGCACAGGGGAAGGTGGGCACGTGCAGAGAGGTAAGAGCTCACGAGTGATCTCTTTTATTAACAACCAGCTCTTGTGAGAAGTAACCCTGTCTCATGAGAGCTGGGCCTCCTGGGTCGTAAGAAATATTGTTACCTCCATGATGCAGTTACCATCAACCAGTCACTGCCCGCTAGGTCTCACCCTGGGACACCATGATGGGAGTAAATTTTTTTTTTTTTTTTTTAGGAAGTAAGTTTTCACTCAATACTTTTATAATACAGTTGATACAATCAAGTCCCATCATGTGAATTTCTTGGGGATATATTCAAATCATAGCAAGGAAGGAAGGTTCTCCATGTGTGTATGTTGAGGGCCTTTCTGGGTTTATGGGATAAAACAAGATAAGGGAAGCCTCCATCCCAGGACTTGACTTATGGCTGGTGCTCAGTACCCAGTGGTTGCCCTTGCTTTCTTTTGAGGGCTGTGCTCTTGCCCTGGGTAACAGACATTGAGTCACGGCATATTTTGTGGGTCTCATGTTTCTTGTGATTACCCTTCTGTGAGTGGAACCAGTGCAGAGCTGATTTGAACAGGAGCTTTTGTTAAGTTTATCACTTAAATAGATATCTACTGGCTGTTGTTTGTTTGATCTATTCCATGAACGTATCTTGTTTAGGTAATGGTTAATGCATTTTCTAAAGAAACTATAACGCAAATGCAGCTAAGAAGCATGATAGTAAAGTCCATAGTCCTGACCACCTCCTCCCTGTTGCAGGAGTTAGAAGCTACAGGCACTCCTTCCTTCTTATCTCACCTCTGGAGTCAACAACTCCCCTGCATCTCATCATGCTGTTCCTTTTAAGAAATGGATTTACCGCATTTATTTGTATCCTCCGGTAATTCCTCCTACAGTTATGTTGTCGTGAGTGTAGTAGAGATAGTCTCATGTGGTACTTAATCATCTGTAGCATGCCCTTTACGCTCAAAATTGTTTCCAAGTTTGTCTAGTTTTAGAAAAAATTAGTTCTAGCTCTAGTTCATTCATTCCCACTGCTAGGCCAAGTGAATGTATGTGATATGTTTATTCGTACATTTTGTCTTTAGGATTTTTTGGTTTTCTTGGTAGACAGAAGGATCGTCTGTCAGTAATGAATGGAGGAGCTTGCCGGCTTAGTCTATTGTCCTTCTCTTACTGCACTGGCACAGCCCTCTAGTAAGTAGAAGTCCTCTGTTGGAAAATAGAATTGAAAAAGGGACCAGCAGGTGGCATAGTGGTTAAGGTGCTAGACTCCCATGTGGTCACCTGTGGTCCAGGTCCTGGACCTGGCATCTTGAACTCATGTCAACTGCATGTGTGTGCATGCCCAAAATCCTCAGAGGAGACTGGAGGAGAAGGGATTGAGATGTGGCCATCCCTCTCCCAGGGAGTGATTTCTCACTTTCTGTCTCTTTTTCTCTCCAGGGAGCATACTTGCCCTATAGCAAAAATTTCTTAAAAAAAAAAAAAATTAGAAAAGTAATTCTGTTTTCTGATCTAAAGACTTTTGTCACTGTTTCACCACTAAGAATAATGTGTTCTGTAAATTTTGGTAGGTTCTTTATCCGATTAAATACATTTGTTTATAATCCTAGATTCGTAAGATTTTTAGGATAATTGTACATGGATTTTGAAGTTTTCATTATTTTTTTCCTGCACGGATGGAGGTGACCATATGGCGAGTCTCCTCGAGTATTAAGGTGGTGAATTATAGTTGTAGATTTTAGGGCAGATTATTTTGTTTGTATTTTGGAATCCATGTTCACAACTGAAGTTGACCAAAATTTCCTTTCCTCATTGTTTTTGACTCATATTATTATAGGCCGTTTTGTTAAGCATTTCTTTTGCTGTATAAAATATTGGGTTCTCAGAAAAGTCATGACACATTTTTATATAGAAAAAGTACATCATGACTTTTCTGACAACCCAATAATTTGTATAAGATTGGAATGATATGTTGCTTGAATTTTTAAAAAAATCTTTCCTATAAAACCATCTAAAACTGGTGCTATTTTGTTTTAAATGGAGAGTTTTTAACCATTCAGTTTCTTGAATAGCTTTATGATTATTTGGGTTTTCTGTTTTTTCTTAATTCTGATTTGGTAAATTACATATTTTTTCTGATAATATGAAAAAGTCTAAGAATTTGTTCTTTTCACTAAAGCTTTAAAACCTGTTGGGAACCAGCAGTTAGCGTAATGGCTATGTCACTGGACTCCCACGTAGTCGATCATGGTTCGCGTCCTGGACCCGGTGGCTTAAAACTCACGCCGGGCGCGTGTGCGTGCGTGCCCAAGATCCCGAGAGGAGAATGGAGGAGAAGGGATTGCAGCGTGACCATCCCCCTTGGGGGGTGATTTCTCGCTTTCTGTCTCTATGTCTCTCTCTGTCTGTCTGGCGAGCGCACGCGCCCTATAGCAAAAATCTCTCAAAAAAAAAAAAAAAAAACACCTGTTGCCAGGGGCTGCCGGGTGATAAGGTGCTTAAGGGCACTAGACTCCCACATGACTGACCATGTTTTTTTTTGGAGAGATTTTCGCTATAGGGCACCTGCGCTCACCAGACAGAGAGAGACATAGAGACAGAAAGCGAGAAATCACCCCATAGGGGGGATGGTCACGCCGCAATCCCTTCTCCTCCATTCTCCTCTCAGGATCTTGGGCATGCACGCACACGCGCCCGGCGTTAGTTTTAAGCCACCGGGTCCGGGACGCGAACTGCGGTCGACTACGTGGGAGTCCAGCGACATAGCCATTACGCTAACTGCTGGTTCCCATGACTGACCATGTTTGAGTCCTGGACGTGGTGGCATACTTTCTCACTTTCTCCCTGTTATGTCTCTCTCTCTTGCTCTGTCCACTCTCTGGTCAAATTTTTAAAAAAAAAAAGTTAAATAAAATAATTCTTTTTTTTTTTTTTTAAATATTACCATAAAGAAACTTCCCTTCTTTTTTCCTTTAAGTTTACTCATTCATTTCTTCCATGAGTGAGAAAGATGGGGATGGAAGGGCATCCCCGCATGGTTTTGAGACTGCGACCCACCCCCAGCCTCAGCTATCCACGAATCACAGGCACGAGTATGCTCAGCCATTCAGGGATGTCTCCGTCAGAACCTGCGCTAGTCACATGGAGTGTTATGTTTTATCTCTGCACTGCCATCTGACCCTCACACTCTTTGAATAGTCACGGTCTCTTCAGTGTCATTGGCCTTAGAATGTTCTTCATTGTCTTCAAACACGTATTATTTGTATTAGATATGTTAGTAGTAGTAGTATTAATAGTATTTGTGTCTTTAATTTACAGATACTGTTTTGTTATCTGCTATTCATATAAATTACTACAGATCTCTTAAAACTTTACAAAATATGACTT